CCCCCAAGAGACATCAGGTCCTGTCCCTGGAATCTGTGAACGTGACCTTGCAGATGGAGATCTTGCAGATGTGATTATTTTTAAAAAAATATTTTACTTATTTATTTTTTAGAGAGAGGGAAAGGGAAAGAGTGGGAGAGAAACACTAATGTGTGGCTGTCCCTTATGTGTCCCCCACTGGGGACCCGGCCCGCAACCCAGGCATGTGCCCTGACTGGGAATCGAACCGGCAACCCTTTGCTGGGCACAGACCTGTGCCCAATCCACTGAGCTACACCAGCCAGGGCTGGGTATGATTATTTTTTTAAAAGATTTTCTTTATTTATTTTTAGAGAGAGGGGAAGGGAGGGAAAAAGAGAGAAAGAGAAACATCAGTGTGTGGTTGCCTCTCATGTGGCCCCCACTGGGGACCTGGCCTGCAACCCAGGCATGTGCTCTGACTGGGAATCAAACTGGCAACCCTGTAGTTTGCAGCCCACGCTCAATCCCCTGCGCCACACCTGCTGGGGTAGATGTGATTCTTTAAGGCTCTTGAGATGCAGAGGCTACCCTGGATAATCTGAGTGGGCCCGAAGCGCCATAGGTGTCCTTACAAAGGAAAGACAGAGGGAAGTCAGACAATTACACAGACAGAAGAAGGGGTCGTGTCGTGATGTGACTGGAGAGGGAAGTGATGCTGCCACCAGAGACTGGAAGCGGGCGGGGACAGACGCTCCCCTAAACTCCCAGAGGGATGTGGCACCGCCGACCCCTTGATTTCAGTCTCTGACCTCCAGACGATAAGAATAAATGTAGGTTGTTTTAAGCCACAGTCTATGGTCATTTGTCACCGTGGCCGTAGGAAACTGATGTGCTGAGACCAGGGGAGGATGATGCCGTGGGGCGCCATGGAGACGCTGCACCCTGTTCCCCACGGAGAAGCCACAATCCCTGCTCTGTGGATGTGGCTGGTGGGATTCCGACCACTGAGACCCAGCTGGCACCCTGCCCTGGTGGCCTTTCAAATTCCTGCATCGTCAGAGCTGGAAATGATGCCAGGCCTCTTCAGTACCTCTGTCCCTGTCATGTCCCCAGCCTCAGCTTCCTCCTGGTCAGTTTGAGAGGTCGACCACTTGAGCACTCTGAGGCTTTTCCCAGCTTCAATGGGTAAGTCAGTCACTCGTCATTCAGTTTCATTTTCTCACTGCCCAGATTCGGGGGTACCAGATTCTTAAGTCTCCTTGAGCCCCCTGGTGCCTAGGGTCAGCTGGTGCTGGAAGTGTGATCTGAGACAGGAGACCCACCTTGCTGGTTGGCTCAGACACTCTCCAGACCCCACACAGACCTGTACCCGGACCCCAGGGTACAGAAGGTGCAGCTGTGGGCCTGTGGCCACTGCCGGTGTCAGCATTTACCGGCTGGGGGAGCTCAGCAAACATATGAACCTTTAGGAGTATCAGTTTTGTCATCTGTGAAATGGGAACGCACACACTGCAGGAGAGGCCGGGAATGTACAAGGGAAGCCAGGCCGGCCATTGGGCTTTCTCAGGCCCACAGACAGTTGAGGGAGGGCAAGGCTGGGATGCCCGTGGAGGGGACAAGCTGGGAGCTGTGTCCTCCGCATGTTGCAGAAGAGTTAGAGGGTGGAGTCTGGAGCAGACTTCACATTTCCTAGAGCCTCCAAGCTTCTGTGGCCTGCTTGGGGACACACTGGGCCCTGCCCAGATTCTTCACTGCCCTCAGGCCTGATGCCCCCAGGTCCTCAGTTATTACATCCCTTCTCTTCTCCGTCTCGGTGGCTTTGGTTCGGTGCCCGCTCTCTCTGTTCCCCATAAGTTACACAACAGCACACAGATACACACACTGAAGAATGGCTGCTGTGTCCCTGTAGTTCCCTGACAAGGGTGTTGTGCTTGTGGGTCTTTTGGTGCAGTGGCCAGCCCTGTGCAGACTGGACAAGACGCCAAGAGCTTGGGCTCCAAGGTGCAGTCTGGCCGCCCTGTACAATGGCCCCGGTTAGGAATGCCCTGGGCACAGGTCTGGGGCTGAGGAGGTCAGGGCCCCACGCCAGCTCTGTTGCTAACTGTGTGTGTCACTTCAGACAAGCACTTGGCCTCTGTGAGGCTCGGTCCCTCTTCTGTCCTGTCACAGCAAGGGTAGGGCTGCGTTGTCTTCAGCTTCTGCCCTCTCCGGCCCATCTTTCTTCTTGACATGACAGAGCATACTTATGCACACACTCAGCTTGGCATGTTTAGTTATGTCTCTTCAGTTTCAGGAGCCTGAGATAGAACCAATTTTAACAGGACAATAAGAAACAAGCAATATGAAAAAGGACAGAAGGCATCCAAGAATGATTTCCAGATTTTGCCCTTCCATTCCTTCCAGACAAATAGGTCTGTAGGTGGACATAATTCAGAGCCATAGAGGGTCCTTCAGATAGAACAGTACTTGGCATTTTCTTTTCTTCTTTTTCTCCTTCTGCTCCTCCTTTTTTTTTTTTTTTTTTTCATGTAACACACATACCTTGCCTCCCAATCTTGGCTCTTTATAGTAACATGTCATTTGATATAAGTGCAATGAAAATTTCAAAAGTGTTTCTTTAGTTTTCGCCTGTATGAGAACCAGAAGCACCTTGAGTGGAGATGTGTCAGCTTAATTTCCTACCTTTTGGCATTCACTGACTCATTTAACGTGTGGCTTCAGTTAGAAACCATTCGGGCGGAAACCTAACACCCAGTCCTGCCCAAAGCTGACACCCTTTTATGGGTCCTGTGGGTGTTTTCCAGTGACCTACTTGACACTCCTGTCTTTGGGATGCAGTACCAAGTGCCAAGCTGTAGCCAAACCTGGCCTGGCTCCTGCCTGCCCCTCCAGGTTCACCTTGCCCTCTGCATCCCTGTACAAGCCATCCGTCCGCTTGCATTGCCCTCCATCCCTCCTCACCTGGATAACTCTGTTCATGCCTTCAGACTCGGCACAACCACCTCACTTCAGGAACCCTCCCTGACCCACCCCAAGTCGGGCCAAATGCCCCTGCTGGGGCTCCCAAAATCTTGTGCTTCCCCCGTTTCAGTTGAAATGTATGACACACACATTTAACTAATAAGAATTCAACCATTTATGCTTGGCCAATAGGGAGAAAGACAATAAGATTAAAAAAATTTAATTTTAGCCCTGGCTGCTGTAGCTCAGTGGATTGAGCAGGTGGGCTTCAAACCGGAGGATCTTGTGATTCCCAGTCGGGGCACGTGCCTGGGTTGTGGGCCAGTTCCCGGTGGTGGGGGACACACGAGAGGCAACCATACATTGATGTTTTTCTCCCTCTCTCCTTCCCTTCTCCTCTAAAGATAAATAAATAATAAATTAAAAATGTATATTTAAAATTTTTAATTTTAGAGAGAGTGAGGGTGGAGAGACAGAAATGTCAATTTGTTGCCCTCCATCCCTCCTCACCTGGCTAACTCTGTTCATGCCTTCAGACTCGGCACAACCACCTCACTTCAGGAACCTTCCCTGACCCACCCCTGCACCACTTAGTTGTGCACTCATTGGTTGCTTCTTGTCTGTGCCCTTCCCTTAACTGCCGATTGAACCCGAAACCCTGGCATATTGGGGTGATGGTCCAACCCATTGAACTACCAGGCCAGGGTCCCCAATAACAATTTATAAGGCTGCCCTTGGACTGGTGAGCACTTGCCAGAGAGGGTGAGATGGAAGCCCTCCTGCACCTTAGTCCTCACATGTTTTTAAGTTGGGAGCATGTCCTCTCTGGGGGTGGTTCTGGTGTGGAAAGACATATGTGTTTTACAGAGCAGGAAGTGTCCCAGACATAGCAATACAGTTCACCTGCTAGGGGACAAAAGAGGAAAGAACAATACTAGAAAAAGGAAAAGCAGCACATACCCATTACGAAGACTTATCTGGTAGGGAAGTTTTAGGATATGTGGGTTTAAATCCCAGCTCCACAGTTAAACAACCTGGGTACTTTGGTCAAGTCACTGTACCCTGTTTGGACTTCAGATGTCCAGGTGTGCCTTTCCATCCTATAGGGTTACACTGAGGCTTAACGGAGGTTAACAAGTGTAATGGAACCACAAGGCAGTCTCTCCATAACAGTTCATGTTACTCCAACCCACACCGATCTCCTTCCTGAGAACCCTGCACCAGTGATGCCATCCCCCGCTGGCCAAGCTCTGGGCACAACCACAGGGCACACGCAGAGGAGAGTGGACAAGCCACGGTTCCAGAGGAGGAAGCATTTCCAGGGTCTCAGATTGCAAGCGTCCACTGAGCTCAGTCCCAGGCTGGGACCGGGGATGCTTCCAGTCCTCCAGCAGCTATACGCTGGTGTATTAGAAATCCCCTGCGGCATTTAGGAACCGGTGTGCGTGTGTATGTGTGTGTGTGGGGGGTAGTTTATAGAGCATTGCCTTGTCCCCCAACCCCGCCCCCGCCAACTCTCTTTTTAGCACTCTTCCGTCCGTTTGGCATTTAACCGGGTGCGGGTCCGTCTTCCTCATGACAGCGAGCTCCTCGAGGGCAGGATGCCGAGCCCAGCCCAGCTACCCAGAGCCGGGCAGGAAGGGTGACTGAGTCCTCGACTCCCGTTATGATGCAGGAGCTCGGCACCACCCTCTTCCCTGGCTCTGTGAGTGCTGCGGTGACTCGATTCTGTGCAGCGCGGTCCGGCGGACGCGACCTCAGCTTTTGCCCAGAGCAGGCACTCGATCAGCATTGTTAATGCCAACCCAGCAATGGGGCTCGGGCTGCTGCCCAGGGCCGTTTGCCGGCTCTTTTGGGGATGCCAGCGCACTCTGGACGCTGGGAACCGCTGCCCCCGCGGGCCGGGGCACCGGCCAACACCCGCCACCAGTTCCCAGCCTCGGGAGCCGCCCCCTGGGCCGGGGACAGGACCAAGTCGCCCCTAGCAACAGCAGCGGGTCCGGCTTCCTCGGCCGCGCCGATTGGCCGAACTCCGGGAGGGGCGGTTTCGTCACTTCCGTCACCGGAGGCAGCAGAGGAAGCCGTCGGGCGGCCATCTTGGGTCCGTGAGGCTCTGAGGTGCCGGGAGCGGCGGCGGCGGCGGCGGCCACCAGGCGGAGGCTGAGGCGGGGAGCAGGCGGGAGGGAGAGGAGCAGCCGGGCGCAGGCGCCGTCTCCGCAGCCCCCTCCATGGTCGGCGCCCGCAGCCCGCGGCGGCCTGTCTTGCGCTCTACCTCTCGCACATCCTCCTCCGCCTTCTCTTCAGGGGCCACCGGCGACGCTGTGTGGGGGCCCGGGCGCTGAAACCCGCGGAGCGGCGGGCGGAGGAGGAGGCGAGGGGGTCCGGGCCCGCGGGGCGCCCTGAGGCGCGGGGACGCGGGCGGGCCGACCCGCAGCCCGCCGCCGCCGGCCCGGCCCCGCCACCGCCGCCCGCGGGCCCCTGGCGCGGCCGCCGGGGCCGGGGAGCATGAGCCCCGGGACCCGCCGGGGGACGGCCCGGGCCCGGCCCGGGATCTAGACGGCCGTGGGGGAGGGGAGCCCCTCCCGCGGCGCCGCTCCAGAACCGCCGGCCCCTCGACGACGCCGTCGCCGGCCTCCGCGGCCGTGCCGTTTTGTTTCCCCTCGCGTCGTGCACAAGTGAAGTGAAGGAAAATGTCCACGAGGACTCCGTTGCCCACGGTGAATGAGCGGGACACCGAGAACGTAAGTAACGCGGCGTTCCCGCTGCTTCCCCGCCCGCAGCGGCCCGAGGACGGTGGACAGGCCCGGCGGGCGGTCCGCTTCCTGGGAGGACCCGGGAAGTGGCTCCGCGGTCGCGCGCGACGCGGTGTGTCCGGGGGCCGGTGGTCACGCGCCGGTCCCTGCGGCGGCGGCGCTTTTCGGGGCGGGGCGCCCTGAATGGGCTGCGGGGAGAGAGCGCGTCGGCGGGGCCGCCCGAAAGGAGCCGGCCGGGCCCGGGGGCTCGGGGGCGCGGGGAGGCCGGCCCGGCGCTTCGGGGAGTGACAGCCCGTCGTAGCGACCGCCCCGGGGAGGCGTGGACGCTGCGCGGGGCTCTCCGACGGCCCGGAGGAGGGCTCGCGGGGGAACTTCGCGGGGCTTCCGGGGAGAGCGCCCTCGCTCGCCTGTCCGCAGCGTCTCCGTCGCGTCCCGAGACGGGGCGGGCTGGGGGCCCAGCACCACTCGGGAGCCTGCAGAGCGCGCTCGGTCGCTCCGGCCGCCCGGGGCTTCCGCCGCTCGGCCGCAGGGCCCCGAAGCGTCCCGCGCCCGAGTGCGCTCGCTCGGCGAGAGTTGCGGCTCGGGCCCGCGGCGAGTCAGGGGCCCGCGGCACTTCCACGGGGCGGGGGGCGGCGCGCGGACTCCCCGGGCCGTGGGCTTCGACTCGGAGAAGTGCTCCGCACCCCTGAGTGACCCGAAGCCAGATGCCGCGGCGGGCGTGTGCCAGTGAGGAGGTCTCTCGGGCGTGTCCGCACCCCGGTTTCACCCCGGTTTCTGGTGGGTCACCGAGTTACGTTGTGACCTGCGCGTCGCCTGTGAACCTGTTCGTCGTGAACTGCTCGCTCGCAGTTTCGTGCCGTTCTTTACAGACGACGTGAGGTGTGGACAGAGCCCTTCTCCCCTGGGAGCGCGTCTGAGGTCGCAGCGACCACCGCGTTCCCGTCAGAGGTTCGCGGGCGCCCTGCGCTGGTGTACCGCGCGCCGCTCCGTTTTTACCTCCGTGTGGGTTGTTCTGGGCGGTGCGCGTGTGTCGGCGTTGCAGGTCCGGCAGACCCCAGACTGTTTGCCCACCGTTACCGCACTGCTGCCCCGGTCAGTTGCCTGCCCCCCGAGTGGGGGGGAGAGTGGAACGGGAATGGGCGATCTCCGTCTGCTGAGCAGGTCCTTAGCTGCGCGCAGTCAGGGCCATTGCGATGGGGCGTCCGCCCTTCCCGCAGCTGCGTGAGTTGTGACAGCTGTGTAGCCATGTAGCCACCAGCACGGTCAAGGCAGAACATTTCCGCTGCCCAGACAGGCCCCTTGTGGCCCTTCGCAGGGAGAGCCCCTCTCCCTGTTTCCTCAGGCCCTGGCAACTGTTCTTTGTCCCTACAGTTCGCACCTTTCCTAGAATGTTAAACACTTGGAGTCAGTATGTAATCTCGTGTCTGGCATCTCTCACTTTGAATACTTCTTTTGAGGTTGATTCGTGTGTGTGTGTGTGTGTGTGTGTGTTTTGGTGGTTCATTGTTTGGATGTACCAGTTTTTAAAGATCCATTCGCCAGTTGATGGGCATTTTAGTTATTATGGCTAGACCAGCAAAAGAGTTTCCATTTTGCTTACCTTGCAGATTTTATTTAAATATTTAATTAAGTGTACTCAGGTATCACTGGTTGATAACATTACATAAACTTCGGGATGCTGTACGCTCTCCTGCGTGCTCACCTCCGGAAGCCTAGACTCCTTCCATCACCAAATAGTTGATCCCCTTTACCCTCTGGGTTCTCCCCTCACCCCCTTCACCTCTGGTGACCACCTGTTCTGCTGTCTATTTCTATGAGTGAGTTTCTTTTGCTTGTTCATTTGTTGCTTTTTGTTTTCTGCCCCATGTGAGTGAAGTCATAGGATTCTTGTCCTTTTCTGTCTTATTTCACTTACCATAATACTCTCAAGATCCATCCATGTTGTGGCAAATTTATTTAAATTTTATTTTATTTTTTTAAAGATTTGATTTATTTTTAGAGAGGGGAAGGAAGGAGAAAGAGAGGCAGAGAAACATCAGTGTGCGTGTGGTTGCCTCTTGCTTGCACCCACACAGGGAACCTGGCCCACAACCCAGGCATGTGCCCTGACTGGGAATTGAACAGGCGACCCTTTGGTTCACAGGCCAGCACTCAGTCCACTGAGTCACACCAGCCAGGGCTATTTAAAGTTTAAATAATTACATATATTTTGATAAGAATGTTGCCTGTTGGTCAGAAATAATAAAAGGTAGGTAATTTGCTATGAGAACTTTTTCTGTTCTTGTCTAGTGTGTTTTCATTTATTTCCAAATGTGAATATCTACTTTTAGCTGATGGGTATATAAAACATTTTATAACTCAAAGCACTAGTCAGATAATCGGACATAATAAAATGCTGAGGCTCAGACAGGTGATGGGAGGTGCTTGTGACCACTGACTAGTAGCAGAACCTGTACTAGGTTCCAGTTGTCTAGCTCAGTCTCCTTTGCTTTTTGTGTATCAGGCGATTTCCAAAAATACTATGTAAAAGATTATTCACCTACAGAGATGTAGTTGTACCAATACAGAGTATGATTAAAATAAGACAAAAAAAAAGTCTTGTTGAAAATTTCAAGTGAATAAGAGAATTTTAATAAGTTGTCAGCCAGGGACAGTTTCGTCCTCCAGTGGACGGAGGTTTGACAGTGTCTGGAGACGTTTTTGGTTGTCACAAGTGAACAGGGTTGCTGCTGACCAGGAAGGCTGCTGACATTTTACAGTGCTCCGGACAGTGCCCCTTTTCCCCAATGAAAAACTCTGACCCAGAAGGTCAGTAGTGCCAGGATTGAGAAACCTGGTGTGTAGTTAGTCCCCCATACGCTCAACAGCATTAATAGCCAGTCTTAATTTCACTTGTTCTCGCCTCTAGAGGCAAATTCAGTACCTTTTATCATTTCATTCTAAAGCTTTTAGAAGAAATAAAGCTTTTTTTTCTAAAAAAAAAAAAAGTAAGCCTTTTATCATAATTTCTTAATATGGGATATCCAGTCAGTGTTGAAGTTTCCTCAATTGTCTACTTTGTAAACACCTCGTTGAAATTAGAATCCATCTCGGATCCATCTATTATAGTTGGATAGTATGTGAATTAAGATACTCATTTAATTAAATAAAAAGTGTGCATTTTAAGCCATGGCTAGTGTAGCTCAGTGGATTGAGTGCAGGATGCAAACCAAAGGGTTGCCAGTTCAATTCCCAGTCAGGGTACATGCCTGGGTTGCAGGCCAGGTCCCTGGGTGGGTGGGTGGGGGCTCATGAGAGGCAACCACACACTGATGTTTCTCTCCCTTTCTTTCTCCCTCCCTTCTCCTCTCTCTAAAAATAAATAAATAAATAAATTTCAAAAGTGTGCATTTTCATGTATGTTCTACTATTGACTTGGTATAGAGCCATGGACAAATCCTGTTTGTATACTGGTAAAAGTAGAAACATGTATTTCACTGAAGTTTCAAAGCTTATGGCACTTTGTAAGCCTGGTTATTTGCCAAAGTACCTCAAGGCTTTGCCAGTGAACTTAACAGCTGTTGGTGTGTGTGTGCACCATGTACTTAGTTAATGCAAACAGTCATCAGAATTTCTTACCTCTGTGAACTAGATAAACTGATGGTGTTATTGTGTAGCCAACTATTGGGTATATGATATTATTATTATCCTATTCAAATTTGAGTACCTACTGTGTGCGTGACACTGCGCCATAGAGGATATACCTAGGCACTGTATTGCTCTTGTTCTTTAGGACAAGTTCTATAGTTCCTGTACATCAGAGCAGCCTGAGCTAAGCTCTCAAACTGGAGCAAACTCCAGAATCACCTGGAGGGCCTCCAGACATTGATTCTACTGTTCAGCCCTTGAGTTTTTATTTTTCACAAGTTTCAGGTTACATAGATGCTGCAGGTCCAGGGATCCCACTTTAAGAATCACTGTCTTGCCCTGGCCAGGTGGCTCAGTTGGTTAGAGCATTGTTCCTCTATGCCCAGGTTGCAGGTTCAATCCCCAGTCAGGGCACATACAAGAATCAATCAGTGAATGCACGAATGGGTAGAACCACAAAATTGATGTTTCTCTCTGTACCTCCCTTTCTCTCTCTAAAATCAATAAATAAAAATAAAAAATAAACAGAAAATACAAATCATTGCTTTAGTGTTCAGTGAAGGTTTTCCAGTTAAACTTACATTCCTGTAACTTATATTGTGGCTATAGATGGGAGGTTTCCAATAGATTCAGTAAAATTTTCTGGTTCTGTGAGTTTTAAAAATTGGTTCTTTGTAAGAAAGTGTGGTTGTGGACAATAAAAATATTCACCCTTATTATGCTTACTGGACATCAGGCAGTAGTGCAAAGTACTTTATATAGTATCTCATTAAAGATGTGTGATATGATCTCATTTAATCTGCTCTTTTTTTTTTAAAGATCTTATTTATTTATCTTGAGAGGGGAAGGGAAGGAGTGAGGGAGAGAAATATCAATGTATGGTTGCCTCTCGTGTGTCCCCTGCTGGGAACTGGCCTGCAACCCAGGCATGTGCCCTGACTGGGAATTGAACCACGTCTTTTGGTTCACAGGCCCACGCTCAATCCACTGAGCTACACCAGCCAGGGCTAATCTGCTTTTTAACTTATACAATTATCAGTTTGACTCAAGCTGTTTGAGTCTTTATACAAGTTGGTGTGAAGAATTAAAAATTTTTAAAGACTTTATTTATTTATTTTTAGACAGAGGGAAAGGGAAGGAGAAAGAGAAGGAGAGAAACATTAACGTGAGGTTGCCTCTCATGCGGCCTCCACTGGGGACCTGGCCCGCAACCCAGGCATGTACCCTGACTGGGAATCAAATCAGTCACCCTTTGGTTTGCAGGTCAGCACTCAATTTGCTGAGCCACACCAGCCAGAGCAGAATTAATGTTTTTTATTTGGTTAAAGTGTTTGGGAAAATATCTTACAGACTTCAATTTG